CAGGTTGGCCTTAGTAGCGGAGCGGTTGAAGCAGTCGGATGTCCACAGGGCCGACGCGAGCCACAGGCGATGTCCGTTGGCGTTGACGTTGGGGATGGAGGAGAGGTCGACGAGGCCCATGGAGAGAATGTGGCGTCGCGCGGCGTGGCCCCCCTTCGTTGCGCGCCAGATGGCGCTCTCGACCACCGCGTTGTGCTTGATGGGGGTGTTGGGGGCGTGTACTCGCGCCGGATCAGCGTCGCAGAACGTGGTGAACGCAGCGCCGGTGAACTCGCCGCCGTTGTCCATGCGGAAACGCCCCGGAGTGCCCATGCCGTTCGGGGTGGAGAGGCTGGGTACGGCGCAGTCAGTCACCAATCGGGATATGGTAGACTGGATGTGTTGCGACTAGAGCACTCTCGAGACCCAAAAAAACTACAAGGCGTTTCCCTTGCAAAGAAAAGAAAGCGAGGCGCACAAGCCAGTGAGAGCGAGCTGCACTTGCGGGTCGGTGGAAACCTGGGCAAGTCAACACACACTCATACGGCAAACACGCCGACAACGCCTTCCCAACCGCATCGTAAACAGGTGGAGTACAGCATCGAGACGGGTCATTTACAACTACGCGCGCCATACTTCGTTGGCGCCGTTGCAGAAGTGCGAAATTTGTGTGTATGTATGCCCCTCTCACACATTCGGGTGCAAGAAACGTGCGTTCGCACCCCCAGACAAAAAAACGACGTGAACAAAATCCGCGTGCCTCTCCACGCCGTTCATGCTTGACCGTGGCGATGCTTGACCGTGGCGATCATCGTAACATGGCACACTATGTATCCTTAACCCCAACACACCGAAGATTCAATTTTACCTTCATGGCCACCGTGACGGCCGTGATGTGCTCCACAGCGTTCCCGATGATTGGCAGCAGGATTAGACCCACGAACGACTTGGACAGGTGTGCCTTTTACGCCAAGCGCGGCGGCCGTCGAAAGAACAGGAGGTAGAGCAGGGTCAGGAAATGCGTGAAGACCAGCATGGGGGGTCGGGGGGATCTCCGAGAGAAGGGATACAAACATCGCAGACGCGTCACCAGCGGCGCATCTACCGGTGACAGGGAAGCAATCTACCCACCTGAACGTCGTGCGAGGACCAGTCCGAATGAGTTGCCAACACACCCAACACTGACACTCGAGGTGCAGCTTTTCTCCAGGTTCTCCACGAATGGATGGCTTATTCGCTTCGGCCTCAATTGGAAAAACGTGCGGTACAACCTCTTGACGCGCTCGTTTATCGCCATCTCTTTTTTCTGTCAACGCAAGTACGCATCTCTTTATCATCTGGACAGAGGTAACCATTAAATTGCCGTAGGATACCACACATGTTTGTTCGACGCACCTACGTGGGGCGTACCCTCGCGATAAAAAACGTACGTACCTCCTCCGTGAAACCGTCGATGGCGTCAACCAGAAACTCTGACAGCCAAGCCACGAGGCCCGTGACCACCGCCAGGCCCACGAGCGACGTGCCCAGCTTGAGGTTCGTGCCGTCGTCGTCGGTGTTGGCGAACAGATAGGCGTGGGTCTTGAACTGTGAGAAAAAAAAAAAAGTGTGGGTGAAAAATAAAACATGTGGCGCACATGACAAGGGTGGGTGTGAACTTAAGCGGGCGTCGTTAATCGCGAACAGATAGGCGTGGGTCTTTGAAGTGCAGCAAAGATAAAGAGATGATAAAAACGTGTCGACACCCAAATGAGAAAGCTTGGGTGTGCATTGGAGCGGGACAAAAAACGCAACGGGGACGGGCTCGAGGGTCTTGAACTATGAGAACAAAAAAAGTGAAGAATGGAAAAAACGTGTCGGCGGCCAGATGATAAAAGTTGGGCGTGAAATTAAGCGAAATAAAAAATACGAACACCCGGTTGTGTGTGCGTTCAAGTGCTTCAGGAACGGACGCAAGTTGCCTCGCCTGTTTCAACCTGACGTGCGTACGACGATGGATGCTCCCTCAAGCAAGGAATATCTCTTTGGGGCATGTGTTTCAGCAAACGGACGCAAGCTGTCTCGTCTGTTTCACCCTGAATGCCAAAACGATGATGGATGCTCGACAAAGCAAGGCGTATATCTTCGGGGCATCAAAAAGAGATAGTCCTCGCTTGATGGGGCACCCATCCTCGTATGCACGACAGGGCGAGACAGCTTGCGTCCGTTGCTGAAGCACATGAACACGTACACACACGGTGCGCTGTTCCGCCCATGATCTGCCGTACTTATATTTTTCGCCCCAAGGTATGTCCATATGTCCTTGCTTGAGCATACTCGTTTACACGTCCGTTGCTGAAGCGACACCACTCCCGCATGGGATGTCTGCCGCTTCACAGCAAACCGTACAGAATACGGCAGCTCATGGCCGGAGCAGCATACCGTGTGTGGGCGTGATCACGTGCTTCAGCAACAGCTGTCCAGCCTGTTTCACCCTGACGTGCAAACGGGGATGGGTGCTCCAGAAAGGATGTCTCTTTGGGGCCGGGCGGCCATAAAGAGATATCCTTGCTTGAGCATCCATACTCGTATGCATGCCTCGGAGAAACAGGGGAGGCAGCTTGCGTCCGTTGCTAACGTCCCACCACTCTCTTGCAACAGGCTTGGCGTTCAGTTGTGCTTCGATCCCCTCTCAGGCGCAGGAGGGAACGAAGGAAATAAAATCCAGTGGGCGAAAACTCACCTGAAAGACGAGGAGCTGCACGTACATGATGAGCAGGAACACTCCCGAGAACCGCGAGACTGTCAGCAAATCTCCCATTTCCTGCCAAACGACAACAAAGAAAAAAAACTCCACGTCACTAAAACCGCGATTTTGCGCGAGACACAGCAACAGTCAAGTAGCGGAGCAGGCGAAGTGGAAGAAAACTAGACAAGCGGGGCAGTAGGACGCACAGACACCGCAGATGCACACCAACATCACAGCGACAACACAGTACCACACGCAGACACATCGTGTACCGACAGCAAGTCCGTCACCGCACCCCAAAACCAACCGGCAGCCGGTGGTTTTCACATTTTGTCACCTACACACAAGGGCCATGCCGAAGATATGCAAGAGTTTACGCTACAGCCACCGAGAGAGCAACGATTTGCTCGACTGAACAGACTGACCGCGGCGTGCGAAAGAGGTGTCGGCAAGACCAGTGCCAGAGACGAAAGCAGGAGCAGGCTCATGTTGGCGATCGCGCTGGTGGAGTTGAAGCGCTGCTCCTTGTGCTTGAGCCCGCCGAAGAAGAAACAGCAGCCGAGAACCAGCAGCATGTTCGAGAACACCGATCCGAGCAACGAAGCCTGGCAGCAAGCAAGCAGGCAGAGAGAGATACATATAAATGTTGGTGGTGGCTGTGGTGGTTGTGGTGTTGGTGTTGGTAATACTGCTGCTGCTGCTGGTTTCTTGCTATCTTTACACTGAAAAAAACGTCCCGACCTCTGCCGAGTAGCTTCCTCCTCTTCCACACCAAACCCATGCATCGAACTAATTCCGCGGTAAGGTCACGCGCCGTCCGAAGTCACTGCTGTGGTAAGCAAAACGATAAAAGACTGACGTTTTCTCGTCGGTGAGCCGACTGGCGCGGTCGATCCTAACTACTCGGAGTACAAATAGAGAAACACACAAGCCAACATCAGAGGCGCGCAGCACAGATGCAATGAAATAACAAACACAACTCTCTCTCCCGTCTACTATTATAGCGTCTTTTCTCAGCCGATTGTCACGACCAGTCCACGCGAGCAAAGAGCACACGTGTACACTACTTCCCCGAAACTCGGGGGAAGGATTTGATGAGCCACGGTGTGTGCCTCCGTCGAAGGGTTTGTAGAGAGGCTTTACTACGTTTTTGCATGTTGTGGGTGCCTGTCGTCCACCCTGCGCGCCTCAAGCCCCGTTCGGAGGGGCCCGATGTTTACTCGCTGGCACCAAACAGAGAGTTTTCTCTTTCGGTCAAAGCGGACAATGCAAAACACCCCAACACAACCTGTGCACTCTCCGGGCAGCGTACCTGTACCACCCGAATCTGGTTCGCGTAGAGAGCCTGGATGGACACCACAATCTCAACCGCGTTTCCCAGCGTCGCCTGGATAAGCCCGCCGAGAGTCTGGTTGGTGTGCGCCGACACCTCCTCCGTGAAGTCCCCCAGAATGCTGGCGAGGGGCTGCGCAAATTCGTCCGCAAACGGGGTGTGGGGGGGCGGGGGTCATCAATATTCGTTGCTTGCCACAAGTAACTTGATTATTAGTGTCAAACCCGCCGTAGCCGTACGGCAAGGAGCATCGTCGCTCAAGTCTCGTAGTAGGTGCGCCCAGCAGCACGCGCGCAATCGGCGCCGTCGTCGATGTACGTCGCCTCTGTAAGGTGGCACTCCATGAGATTCAGGTCTCGTCCATGGAAGGGAAAACACAGCGAGAGAGGAGTGGCTCTCGTTCAACCACACCGTGATCATCGAACCTGTACCCTCAGGTATCGGGGGAACTCGCAGGAGGACCCTTCCAGCGCCCACTTCCTTCGGCGTAAATCACCCCCCTCCTCCCACCAAAGGGGCACAGACACATTTCAAACAACAGCCGCCGCCCCCCACATACAACAGGCGACCTCTACTTTCTCCGTGAGGTATTGCTTCGTTCACGTATACAGCCGTGACAAAAATGCGATAAACGGAAGGTACATGACCCCCGGAACTCACCACCATAGCCAAGAAGTTAACGACGAAGATTGTCGTTTCCGAGCACCCCAACCATTTAACGGCAAAGCCCGCCGGCACGAAGATCTGGACAACAAATCCCACGAGGGGGTGGGGTGGGGGGGGGGCGGATTCCGAGCTTGATACAAGGACAGCAGCGTTGTGCGAAGTGATGGCGGAAGCCTCTACGCTTGTTAGTGGCTCGATACACAAAACCAAGATTGCTTGGACCTGCAGTCTGTTCTCTCCATGTGGCGTGGGGCATGTTCCCTGAACATGGCATGCTTCCGAAACATCATCCCGCGCCCTCCACCAACGGCGGGAAGGGGAGCCGCAAAATGAATTGCCGCGAGAGCCCAGACCTCCGCCATGAACCGGCCGGCCACCTGTCCCGCCCCACTTACCATCATGACGTTGATCCACTTGTCGCTGATCATGCTCCATATCTTGGTGATCTCGCTAGCGTCGTCGTCGCCATCCTCCTCGCCGTCCAAAGACTTGCCCGACACGTACAGACCGTTGTCTGCCGCCTCCTCCAGTCCAACCGCGTCGTCGGTGACGCTGGAGTAAGACCGGGACGATGCCCCCCTAGAGGCCCATTCGTTCGTCAGTCGCTGAGCTTCGCGAGATCTGCAGGGCGATGTGCAGACAAACATGACGGGGAGCCGGCGGATGAAATAAGGAAGTTGCGGGCAAAAAATGTTTTGTAACGGATGCAAGAAATTGTGGGAAAAGTGAGAGAGCCCGTCGAAAACATCTATAGGCTGGTCGGTGTGTGCACCAGGACCGTTCCATGGTGCGCTTGTGTGTGTGGTTTCATTCCCTCTAATTCGGCGGTAGTCTTAATGTCTACATACTTGACGTACCAGCTTCGCAGGGTTTTCTATTAAACAAACATGTTGGATAAAGCATGCAATCGGGGAAGTTGGGTTAGGGTTACGGTTAGGGTTAGGGAAAACGGTCTGCGTACCCCCCTCCCTGTTCTATGCGTATCTCCTCATAAACTTAATTTCTCGCGAAGGCGGTCAACCAGCTGAGGTAGCACATGAGGAAGGCAACACACGGGCATGTCCCAACCGCCCCCCCCCCCTGAGGTGCTTGCGTTCGACGTTTAGCGCGAGGATGGGTTCAGCAGTGTCTTCCCTCTGGTGTATACCGCAGAGGCGGAGATATTCCGCCCGTCGGGGAGACGGCACCGGGGTGTCCAATAAAATACGAAGGACGGTTTGATTTGAACTCGATTTCCGCACAGCGCCTGCTTGTAGATACACTGGTACCAACAGAGAGGCGGAGAGATGGTACTCGTCGGGGAGATGGCACCGGGGTGCCTGCGTTAAGCCGCTGTGCGCAATTAACTGGGCATTGCACTGATCGGAGAGATGGCACCGGGGTGCCTTGAAAGAGCTAAACGAAATCATATAATTGCATTTCCGCACCGGGGTCGGAGAGATGGCACCAGTACCTGTCGGAGAGATTGCACCGGGTTGCGAAAAAGACAGAACAAAGCTTTTAAAAAAAACATTTGCGCTCGGTGCCATCTCTCCCGCCTCTTACGGTACACTCCCGAACAACAAATCGCTTTCCGCTACAGAATTGCAAACCGTTCACTCACGAGCGAGATTTGAACCCACAACCGGTTGGTAGGGTCACAAGGCTACCAAATAGATTACCGGGGCAACAACCGGTGGAAATCGACATCGCACTCTGGGGGAAACAATCGCCACTTGCTCTCTCACACCCCCTCCACGACATCCCAGTGATGCAAGAGGATGGTGTAACTGCTGGGCAACCGACGTAGAGAAGACGAAGTTTCGTTACTCTCGGCCAAAGACTTGTATCGGAGGTGAAAGGGCGGTATCTACAAGTCTAAATCCGAGAAATATCGAACACGGTCTTCTGGCCCAGAGAAGTCCCGATCTTTCGAACTAAACTCAGTGGAGGGCATCATGGAGCAGCGACTTGCGTCTTCGGCACGCACCCTACAGATCTCCTCCTCGGGCTGTGATACAGCAGTACATGTACCGAAGGCTATCTGTCCTCAGCACTTCTGGATCCAATTCAAACATAAAATTTACAGACCAGCAAATGCACCCACGTCTACGCTCGTCAGATTTCAGAATTTCACGCTGACTCCATGCTGCTGCTCTCTGATTGGCCAACTACTATTTCTTCTTCCGCTCCTCACAAAACTCAGATTTGAACGCCTCTGTCTCTGCAATCTTCTGCTATAGGTACTCGCCGGCACGGAGCCCCCGTCTTCCGAACCAAGGGTCGTCTAAGGCAGCTACTTACCAAGGTAGTGGTGTGAGCTTGGTATGTAGGTATGCTGTAAACCCGCCAGATATTGGGTCTTTGATGGCGAGCGCAGGAGCGGAAGATGGGTGATTTTGGACTCGGGTTTGGGACCGTTTTGGCCGGCGGCTGCAGCTAACGACAACACGGCCAAAGGGATAGATCTCATCCGTGCAACCGCGCCTATCACTGCTCGGTGGTATCATCTACTGGAAAAAAACACTTCTACTTTAGATCGGGGTTCTTGTGCAACGCGAAGAATGTTGATAAGCACCCGCCAAAAGGACGTGTGACGGCTTGAGTCAGTCCGATGAAATTATTGCATTGGTCTCGTGAGAGAAGGTGTGTGGAGGTAGACGACATGACGTGCTAGTGGAGACAAGTCCCCACAGCTGCTCAGTGCGACAGCCCACAGATTCTTAATCGCGTGCAACACCTCCATCCCACTGGTATTGAAAAATGTTTTTGCGTGAGAGTGCTGGGCGCTCTACGATCCGAACGAAGTCAAATCAAGACATCGACCTCACAGCACCCACTGCTGGAAAATTTTCTCTTTTTCGAATCTGTTGGATGTTGGAGCAGTGCAAAGTGCAATACACCGACTGTAGGTCCTTCTTCGGCACACTTTCCAAAATCGCGTGAGACAGGTTGCCGCTGCTCAAACTCTCTTTTGCATGAGACCCGTTCCGAAGACTGCAACTCATCTCCCGGAAATCGCGGCCTATTCTAGTCTACACCCTGTAACGAATGGAACATTCCTTTCGGCCTGTTACTCAGTTGAAGACGAACAACGCTTCGAAAATGTAGCACCCAGGGCAACAGGTTTGTCCGAACGTAATAAAGACCGCCCTTGCGATGCCACTTCTCCGTGCGCGTCGCCTAATCTGCCGCGATGCCGCTGCCTACTGACGTTTGCCGTAGCGCCTCGTAGGCAGAAGCCAAGAAGAGAAGAAGCCAAGAAGTACTGCTGTAGGTCTATGATACGTATGGTGTGTGTAGGGTACGTACCTCGCGGCGGAGAGGGCCCGGCACGCTCACGCCATAATAAAGAGCCCGAAAAATGCGCCATTATTACGAGCAGTTCGACTCTAAACCAATAAAACATACATGGACAACGGCAATCACCCGCACTACTATGTAGTAGATCAGCATGTAGGGAGTCGAAGCTGGAGTCGGCGTAGAACCACGCCCTCCCAACACCGGAAGATGGCAGATAAGTGGGTGGGAGTGAAATGAAAGGGTCCCAAAACGGCAACCATTTTTTTTTTTTGTCTTCACTTCAAATCAGCGCTCACAGCACTATTTAGTGCCGTTGACTCCAACCCGTGGTCACACAGACGAGCCCCTCTCTACCCTCCCCTCCTGCGGTACGTTGCCTTCGATTTTAATGCGAGAAGAGTTCAGCACTCTCTTCCCTCTGTGTACACACGAACTAGCGCTATCCACTAAATAGGTCAGGAGCGGAAGCGAGAGAAAAACTCACAACCATGGTACCCGAGAATATTATTTGGAAGCGACGCTCGAAGTCCTTGTAACCGCTACATTGCTGGGCATCGTCGGGGATGAACATCACGCAACAAGTGCTAGTGCAACGGCCTTGCTGAAACCAACGCAGCAGCAGAAGGTAGGTAGGTGTCCATCCTACTCATGAGGCGCATGGACGAACTGGTGCAGTCGGAGAGCCAGCACGGACAGGCAACACTCGATCCTCGTAGCAGAAGTATGAGGAACACTCACTTCGCGAAGTATGGTACTATTAGCGGTATTGTTGCCTGGGAAGGGCTACCGCAGTCCTCCATGGCAATAGCTTCCCGAGGGCGAAGCGAGGCCTTCGGGGTGAGCAGGTGCAGTGCGCGGGTAGTCTCGTGCCTCCTCTGTGGGCGGGGCAGCCGCCGCCCCTACGCCCGGATCGGTTCGGTCAACACGCAGCGATGGTTGCGCGCGCGAATGCGCTGCGGGCGAGCTCAACAAACAACGTCATCTCGCGCGCTTTTTTTTCTTCGCACCTGCGATTCCTGCTGGCTTTCGCGATGAACTTGCTGGCTGCGAACACTGCGCCCAGAGATGGCCTGGCAGCTTCGTCCTGTGCGATGGTAGCCGGCTGTCCGTTGCCTGCCTCCTCCATCTTGCTTGCGTTGCGAGTCAACGGATGTCCGCCGCCGTTCTAAATTCTAAGCGTGCACTTCTGCGTACCAGCCACCTCTGCCCTCGCCTTCCTGATGTCGTTTCGTGGAGCGGCAACGCGAGGCGTTGCCCGCGCGAAGCGGCCCCGTAGATGCGACAAAAGCAGGACCCTGCGGGAGAGAAAAAGTAAACGGTCGCAAGAATCCGATTACACAGACAGACGCCGCGGTGGGCGACACAGCAGACACATACGAGGCAAGAGGAAAGACGACCTAGCTTGGAGAGAGAGACACAAATAGAGAGAGAGGAGAGAACCGGGATACGGAAAGAGCAAAGCAGAGAAGACGCTTGTGTAGAGGGGGGCCAAGAAGGGGGCGAGAGGGTTGTCGCGTGTGCTGGGAGGACCCCCAAAAAATCATGCCGGGGAGGGCGAAGAAGGTTACCCTGAACAAGGCAACCTTCGTGGAGATCAGGCACAAGGGATGCAAAGTGAGTGAGGGTACACCTCGTTGATGCATTGAGTTGTCGTCCATCTTGTGTTGTCCTCACTTGTTGGTCCCGGTTGATTCCAGAAGACATTTACACAAAAAAGTACGCTGCATGGATATATTATTTGTCGTTTACGAAACGACAGCAGCAGCTACAAGGTTGCAGCAACGTTTTAAAATCGCGCAGTCACCATTGCGCGGGCGGTAGGCGGCAAGGCGTGTGAGAGAGGCAGGTGTTTGCGAGCCGAATCCCTCTTGGCTGCTTTTATCCTCCGTGTTGCTGACCTGTCAGTTCCGTAGTTGGTTGTGACTTGATGGCGCATAATGTGTGTGTGTTTCGTATGTCGCGCGTGCCATGATGTGCCGTAAGCCATGAGACCCCCCCCCCAGGCGCGGAGCTACTGCTGTACATCGATACCCAAGATATGGACGTTGCCGTACTATTATGCATGATGTACCATAAGACCCTACAGGTAAAGCAGACGTTGCCGCAGCGCCATTCAGTCGAGTAGTACAAGGTAGGGGTAGACCTGCAGTTCGGGTGTTTTACCCCACCAGAAAGAACCGCGCTCGTAGACATGTGTTGCCCATACGTGGGGGTTTGTCGCACGGGGAACCTCTTGAGTCTGTCTGTCAACGCGTTGACGGCAGTGCCTCCCACACGAGCCGCGTGTGCCACCATTTCGTTGCGCCACGGCTTGGGCGACCAGCGCCTACGATAGTGAAGAGGAGATACCGCAGCCTCAAGGCATGATATATTGGTCCTGTGTCCCAGCCGAAGGATGTTCGCGCAACGGGAGCAGATACTCGAGTGCGTCTCGTCGCGGTCTACATGGCCGCAGCGTTTCGTCGTCTTTACTGACGCCTCTTCGATACAACAACACAAGGAGTTGCTGCTCTCATAAAATGTGGGCTCGCAAACGCCCACTTTCTCCAACCCTCTCCTCCACTTGAAGCCCAAGGTTATTGCTTGCGGAGCACAAAATAGACCGGTTCTGCTGTGTACGAAGAACTCCGGATGTATTTGTCTGTGGCCCCGAGAAAGAAAAAGATGGATCGCAGTTTCTTTTCTTGCAGGTTATGCAGCGTGGGTGTTGGTCATCCCGTTTGTTCTGGACGTCGTGACGTCGTTCTGTCCATCACGTTTTTGGACGGACACACTAGCCGGGGTCACACAAGAGGAAAGCCACCATACAACAGGAGTTTTTTTGTTTTGTTCTTCCGCCCTTACTCTTCTTAGGTGCTTAAGTGGCCCTAACCATCGCAAGCGAGATTCAGCCGTTTCTATGAATATTCCTCGTCGACCGCCAAAGTCGACGTTGTTGCGCACACGAGCGCGTCGCTATCCACATCCAGTTGTCCTTATTTAATGGGAGGAAATATCCCGGTTCGTGCGACTCCGCCCGAGATTCAAACTCACGCCCAAAACGTCAAATGGTGGCAAGGTTCTCACCTGTACCACTGGGCGTGCGTGTCTATTGTGTAATCTTCGACCCACATCCACTACATATGTGTAACGCAGTTTCGCGCAAAGCAGACGATAGCGACGAGCTCTTCGCAGTTTGAGGCGCTCCCTCTCTCTGCGTGTCCCCGTCGTGTCTGTAGGCTGGCTTGGTTCGCCCGTGCCAAGCACTTGGCTCGAGAAACAGTTACGGGTGCCGACAGGATCCGTCTTTGGTTGAGCCTTTTCCCCTCCAGCATTTTTCCCGTAACACGTTTACGTGTCCATAGACCGTGTCGTCCCTTCTCCCACCTGTGGTGCCAGCAGAAAATGAAGAAAGAAGCATGTTGCAGTCCATGCAGCAAAGAACTACTTACTATAACGCAGCTGACAGCATGTAGAGCCGGCGTCCCCCATGTTTTTTTTTCACCTATGATTGATTTCCCATCTTTTCTCCGCGAACACTCGTGTCTATTCTTCAAAATCGATTTCCTCCCATAATTCGATTTCGCACGTTCCGCAAATTTGTATGGCGGTTCCTTAGAAATAGCGGTTGTTGGAGTATGAGTTCTCTTCGTTGCCCTTGGAGAGATGGCCTCACGTTATCTTCCCGAACAGAACGATAAGTATGTGTTTTGTTCGCCGCCGTCGCTTTATGCACCGTGTGTTGAACCTGTTGTTGGACCACCGCCCCAACCCCCGCCACCTGCTGCTGTGCACGCATGCGAAGCCAAAAAGACAGACCACTAGAGTGCTCATAAACTACGACAAGAAGGACCTGCAACAGCTCGTGTCGTGCGTGGAGAGGGCGCTGCAAAAATCCCCCTCCGACCCCCCGGTGCGCGTGACGAGTCTAAGCTATGCCCCCGTCGAGACCACCGGCGGCGAGGGCGGTGGTGTACTAGACGGCACGCCGTTCTGCCCGCAACCCAAGCGGCAGAAGTCGTCGACCGACGCGCGGCACAAGAACGTCCTGCTGACTCAGAAGACGTTCAACCCGGAGGTGTTTTGGTCCATGGAGAAGGTCTTCCTCGCCGCCGTGGTAGTTAGGGAGGTGTGTAATGCGACGGTATGTGCTGTATGCTGACTGTGTGTACTGGCTGCTGCGATCGTGTGGTTTTGTCAAGTTGCTCGCTACCGCCGTCCATGTAAGGGTATTGGCATATCATTGTGCCGTGCGTTCGCGGCTTGTGAGTATACATGAAATGATGATGGCCTGACCGCCGCCCACCACTCGGAGGTGTTTTGATATGAGTCCGACGATCTCTCTTTGCTGTTGAACCTTGCCATTCGTCTACTTTCGCGATGCACATTGTTGCTTTTGCAAGAATGTACAACCTATACTGTGCGACCAATTACAGCAGGGGAAGCAAAGCAGACTTGATTGTTTTCGTCCCTTGTGGCTCGAAAACCCCAAAGGTGACTGCCAACACACACACACCATATTTTGCAACCGCTGATCGAAATCGGTGCAACGTGACGCCGGCGTGAGCATGAACGTTAAATCTACTTCCGCTGGACCATGATCATGAATTGTATGATGCCGCTCCGCGCCGTATGACACACGTAACCACACACACACACAGGGCGACGACGAAGATGATGAAGAAGAAGTGGTCAACGACGAAAACAACCGAAGACTCTCCAACGGCAGTGTCGCCACGTCGAACACTTCTCCCGCTGGCCGCGGCGTAGGCACCATCGGCAACAGCAGCGATAGCCCGTCACCGCCAGCGCCGAAGCCTCCCGCGCAGCAGGGGAGCTTGTCCCCCTCGAGCCCCCCTCAGTTAGATCGTGTCTCGCGGATAGGGGATGCCGGTAAGCGTGGCGGCGGGGGTGAGGGGTCTGGTGGTGATTCGCCGGCGCCCCCGTGGACACCGCCCGGCCCCGTGTTGTCTGTGGCGGGGGCGGGATCTTTGACGCCGGCCATGAGCACGCTGTCCTCGAGGGGTTCGACTGAGACGGAGCGGGACGGAGAGAGAGGCGCGGGTGGGGACTCGGACAACGGTAGCATCCTCGACAGCAGCAGCAGCTGCTGCGGCGGCGGCAGCGTTGGCCGAGGGCGCAAGCAATCCTCCGCCACTGCCACTTCGTCGTGCGCGAGCACCGTTCCCGAAGGCGGCGGCGTGGGCGGCGGCGGCGGCAGTAGCGAGGCTACCGATTCTCCGCTCGCTAGCCCCGGCCCCGGGAAGCGCTCGGTTCTGTTCCGGCGGGCTTCTCGGCTCCCGCCCGACACCGATCGAAACTCCGGCAGCAGCGAAGGCGGCGGCGGCGATGTTTCCTCGAACGGGGACGACCGAACAGCTGGTGCCGCCGCCGAGGAGGCCGCCACTGGCCGCGGCAGCGTTGTTGGTGGTGGCACGGACAGTGAGAGCGCCGACTTGGTCCGCGGCGGCGGTGGCGTGCGGCCTGCCAGCCGCGGGGACCCTGTCGCCGCCCACGAGCAGCGCTCGAAGCAGCCGCGTGGCAGCGACAGAGACAAGGAGAGCTCCCGGTCCGCTGCTGGCCAGCGCGAAGTCGGGAGCGGCAGACCGGGGACGGGCAGCTCGAGTTCGAGGAGCGCGGCGGCGGCGGTCAAGGGGGACGAAAGGCGGAGGGCGGCCGTGGACAGACCGGCGGGGGATAAGGGCCTGCAGAAGAAGAGGCCGGTGACGAAGACGAGAGAGTTGTACCCCAAGCCCGGTGAGAGAGAGCGCGTTGCCAACGCCTTTTCGTCACGCCCGGTGCTGTGTTGGGGCCAGTGTCCGGCGGGGTCGAGCCAGCTGGCTGGACACCCGTAGCTTGTAGCATCGATCGCTCTCTCTTGCTGGCCACGGTCAGTGTACCGGCGCATACTTGCTCCGTGCGGCTGCGAGTACATACCTTGATAGTAGCGTATGAGTAATGTCTTGGCCTTACTGGGTGCTGCTATGCATGCCAACGTTTCGGACGAAGTCAGAGAGACGTGTCTGGCAGCTGTGCGGCACATGGAGGAGGTTACTCGCAGTATATATATATATATAAACAGCTCAACGTTCTCGAGAACAGTATGGTTTTCACCTCGTGTCCCGAACAGAACCGGACGTCCCACGTGTAACCTATTGACTTGTAAACGCATGGACGCCCCTCACCCTATTTAGGACATCATCGCTACCTCAACACACGCCCTGATTCGATTCCTCGTTTGCTCGGCCGCCCGTCCCTGTCCTCTCCTGCGGATGTGAAAATAACAGGCACGACGACGACGACAGCCGCAAGCGCCAGGTCCGCCGCCCACAAGAGCCGCAGCAAGCCCGTTACCACTGCTACCGGCTGCTCAACAACGACGACGACGCCCCACAAACAGAAGACTACGACGGCCGCAACGCCCGCAAAGCAGAAGCCCGCCGCAACGCCACGCAAGCCTCTCACGACGACGCCACGCAAGCCGCAGCAGCAGCCAGTGCAGCACCAGTCCCCCTGGGGGGCGAAGCCCAGCGAGCGCAGGCAGCCGCCATTCAAGGCCGCGGGTGCGCCCAAGGCGAGGCTTCCGCTGAGAACGAACACGGCGACGGCGACGTCGGCGGCGGCGGCGGGAGCAACGGCGACTCCTGGGAAGTCGAGGCCGAAGGGAACGGCGACGGCGGCGGCAGGAGGAAGCGGCGGCGGAAGTGGTGCCGCTTCGGGAGAAGGGAGCCCGAGCCCCAGCAAGCGTGGGCCTCCTAGGTGCAACAAGTTGACGCACATTTTATTTTGTCTACACCGAAGTTTGTAGACCCTATGATTGTGTTTTATGCAGTCCGTAGGTTTCAGCTCCGACTCATGCCGGGGGGGAAACAAGCAAAAGCAACCTTGGTACTTCCTTGTTATGACCAGGTTCTGACTGATTCTGACGTTCATCCGACTTCTTTGTATGCCGAGTGTCGAGACCTCCTCGTTCGAGACTGACGACGAGACCAAACAAACTAAAACGAAGCTAGTTCCGAATACTCCTCGCCCCTCTCGAAATGCTCCTGCCGGAACCATTTTGTTCCCCACATGTGTGTACAACATGTTGCGATTGCCATGTTTCTGTGCTGGGGGTAGCCCACACCCCGCCCTCATCTCACTGCTGCCCGCCTGCATCGTTACCTCTGCCTCTCTCTAAAACGATGCAAATCTCTGTTAGCAAGCCAAGTTTCTCGTGCAGCAGCACCACCACTGACTGCGCGCCACGCGCACCATGCGAAACGTTTCGATCCCCCCAGGGTTTCTGCCTCCGGCCACATGGCTTGGGAGCGCAACCTGAGAACGGTGTCCAAGTTCCAGCCGAAGAAGAAGGTCACCTCCCTCCCGAGCAAAAAGGAGGCGCTGCACCGGGCTATGCGAAGGGGTGGAAAAGGCGGTGGCGGCGGCAGCGGCGGTGGGTGGGGAGGTCGCAGTGGAGGAGCCGGTGGCGGTGGCGGTGGCGGTGGCGGTGGTGACGGCGACGGTGGCAAGGGGGAAGATGGCCGGCCTTCTATTGGGACGTGGGCCACGACGCAGAACTATCTCAAGATCCTGAAGGAGATCAGCGGAAAGGTGATGAGCGAAAGGGATAGATAGAGGGAGAGGGAGAGAGATAGGAACGTGATAAGAAAGTGTGTGTGTGTGAGAGAGAGAGAGAGAGAGAGAGAGAGAGAGAAAGAGAGAGAGAGAGAGAGAGAGACGCATAGAGAGAGAGCGAGGGAGTCAGAGAGGTATACTCTAATCTAACTACACGGGTTCATGTTTTTTGTTTTTGCACCGCGGGTTACAACAAGAGGTATTATAGCAGGCACGCGCTCGAAGTGGGGTAGAGCTGCGCTACGAATATCATACATGTACATGTGTCTTCGCGTTCCGTGTTTTGTGTCGTGTGCAATCGTTAATCGTCCCGCTGCTGGCACCGTCTAATATTTGTAGCGTATTGCACTTTCCCACCACGTATTTGTCCCGGTTGCTGGCAAACTCTTTTTTCCTTCTTGGAATAAGCGGCGTCTTGTAGTTTCCCCCGTCCTCGGAACAGTGCTTCTACTACACGAAAAGGTTGACGCTTTGCCTTGTCTGTATCCCCCCTCTGTACCTCGTTACTCTCTTCGGCAGGTTGCCGGCTGAGAAATTTTGTTTCGTTTTGTCGTCTTTCTTCTCGTTCTCCCTCCCCTTGACGCTCTTATCCGCAAGTTGTATCCCCGCCCCCTTTCCCCCGACCTCTTCTCTCGTTGAAATTTTGTCGGGCAGGACGAAGAGGAGCTGGAGTGGTTGGTCGTGGCCAAGAAAGGGCAGGGGGTTAAGAAAAGCGAGACGAGGCGCGAGAACGCGGAGACAGAGTACCACCGCTTGCTCTGCGAAGAATCCATGCAGGAGGTAACCGAGCCGCACGGAGACTGACGTGTTTTCATTGGTCTGCCTGAGAGCAGCGGATACTACACGCGCGTTCCTGCTTTTTCCTCTCCGTTTTATTTTTCTCAGTGGTGTTGCGGGAGGTTGGTAGCCCCGGAAGAGAAGATAGGCCAGCCTGCCGAACAAGCATCGAATACGACCCACCAAGCGCACTTTTCGCTGCCAATCGTTCCGAATTATCTGTTCTGATTTCTCAAGTCCTGCCGCCTTTCCATTTTGTTTCTTGTTTCGTTTTAAAATCATGTGAAACAGGCGGGCCTTAAGCTTCTCAAAGACCGCCGGCTGGAGGTGGCTCTGAGGAATGTTGGGAAGCTGGGGGAAGAGCTAGATCGCCTGACCGAGCTCCTAGAGGAGCTGGGCGGACAGGTGGGATGGACAAGGCGATTTTATTTTGTTGCTTGCCGGCTGGACCCTTTCTTGCGAAGTGCCTACAGCAGTGGGGGTTCCCAAATACGGCCGTCGCCTTATATGAGGCGGGCGAAAGTGGCTGACATATACAGAACTATTCAAGTTACTCTACACAGTGAACAAGGCGGCTGTCCCATATAAGGCGGTCATTATCAGCTGCCCCGCCACCGACTAATTCGGGGACCCGCACTGTACCCAGATCCCGCTCTGCTACACATACAGCACCATGCCCTCAACTCTGGGTGAGCAGGGGGTCCGCAGAGTGTAGTGGCTATTTGACCTGCCATGGGAGGCTGGCTATTTCCTTTGGTGGAATGTGGCGAGGAATGCCAACCTGGACCGAGCGAACCCAATCGAGCTGGTAGGGTGGTGTGGACAGTTGGGGCGAGCCTTCGTGGACTCATTTTCCCACCCTCCTAAGACCCATCAACCGTTCGCAGCTGTTGAGAATCAGAAGAGTAACGACCCTTGGAAGAGCAGTATCTAGTGATCTAGTCAGTATCGCACATCTCACACAGATCTATGCTCTTGATGTATGCATATCTGTGCTTCATGAATATACCCTATCCTGACCTCCACGCCTTCGTTGAATCAAAATCGCGGACGTTTACCTGAGAGTGCACGCAGTGCTTTACTGCGTGTCAATATCTCACTCAATATATAGTACCTACAGCCATGGGTGTTGCTCCCCACCCCCTGCCCCGCCGCCGCCGTTTCCGCCAAGAAAAAGACGGGTGTATCATGGGCCATCGCGTTTCTCACACGTGCCTTTAGAAGTGCAATTCAGATCATCGATGCCAAGAGAAAGAGGGAAGAGAGGTATAGAAAACGAAAGGAAACTACGTGTGCGAGTCTGGAGAGGGGGTGAGTATAACAACACTGTCTGGTTGCTGGCGCTTGAACAAAGGTGATGTTCGCACACCCGTCAGACTTGTGTTGTCTTCACTTCTTGTTGCACCGTGGCATCTATTGCTATCTCACACACGCACACACGCGTACCCACGCATCAGGAAATGTCCCTAGTCGCGAAGGACGCCGACGCGGAGCAACAGGAGTCGGCGCAACTAGAATCGGCGGTAGCCGCGGCAGCGGAGGCGGCGACGGTAGCCGCGGAGGCAACAGAAGCAGCAGCGGAAGCGGCAGCAGACGCAAACGCGTCCCCGGAAGCGGTCGACACCGAGCAGATGATGGAGCGCGCAGCTGCGGCCGCAGAAGCGGCGGCGCAGGCAGCGGAGAAGGAGGCGGTAGCGACGGCAGCTGCGGAGGCTGCGGCTGCTGCGGCGGCGGCGGCGAGAGCCTCGCGGGAGGCGGAGAGGGCGCGTCTCGAGCGGGCCAGGGGTGACGCGGAGGAGAAGCTGGGGAGGGTGCTGGGGGACATCGGGGCCGGGAAGGAGAAGCTCAGGGCGCTGGGGGGCACCGTGAAGGAGGAGTGCAGGAGGGTGCCCGGCGGGGGCGGTAGCGCGCTCGAAACGGTCGAGGGTAAGTGGTTTGTTGCTGCTGCTGCTGCTGCTGCTGTTGTTGTTGCTATTCTCGTTGTTGGTTGTTGTTGTCATGCGGGGAGTTCTATCGTTGGACACGAACAAATGAGAAGTCGCCCGCATAACACATGGCAGAAGGCAGTTGGTTTCGACGCCCATTTATCTGAACGACGACGATTTCTATTTTTTCCTTTTTTTCTCGGTGTGCCGCGGGACCGCAGGCATCACGGCGGACGTGTGTTCGGCGAGGGAGCTCATCGCGCCAGCACGGGCCAAGAGTGGCCTGAGCGGCATCCAGGATGCCGCCAAGACTCTCGCCGAGGACCTCCGCAAGACGCGGTGGGTGGTTAGATGGGGGGGGGGGGTTGGTCGGAAGGCAGGTCGCTTCGGATCATGCCTTGATTCATCTCTTTGCTACGTGGCGCTACATACTGTAGATGGTCACAGAATGAAACGGAAGCCGGCTTGAGTTTACCATGCAATAGACCAAGGCGGAACGAAACATGGAATGGAAAACGTCGGTCTGTCGTATTTTTGCGGTCGCTCGCCCATGGTGACGTATTGTTTCGCGTTTTGTTTGTCGTGTTGTGCCTTGTGAGTCAGGAGCGGGTCCCAGGCTGCCCTGGCTCGGATGGAGAAGTGGAGGGAACGTAAAGAGGCACTCCCGGAGTACGGCCAAGGTAATGTAAGCGGCCTTCACAACACTTGCGTTCCTGGGGGGGCGGGGGGGGGGGGGTCTTCGGTTTCATCTTGAACAGGCTACAACCGCAGAGGAATTGTTCTGTTTGATCCCGAATCGGACCTCTTCAGTAGGAGGGGGAAAGGTTGGTGGAAGGAGCTTGCGAGCGACGTTTCTTGCTGCATGGGACTACGACGAAGGAGGCATGGTATAGTGCACGACGGTGGGATTTTCGCCTGGCGGGGTGGTCTCGGAGGCGATGTTGATTACTTTTTACTGCTGTTTCCGTGCTTTTGCTCTTGATGCCCCTGCTTCCGCGGCTGTGGAGATGGTGTGCGCGTCAGTGCGGCCATTCGCCTGGATGGGGAACCTCTACACGCTCTCAAACGCGGCGTGTTGGTGATGTTTCGCTTTTGGCCTAGTGCTTCGCAGATTTGAATAAAGCTACGCCGATGGTGTTCGATTTTTCCCCTACACCCACAACCCGAAGCTCGAAACACGGACGCGTGCCAGTAGAACGCTTCGGTGTTGCTGCACTTGGAGGTAGACACCGACATAGACATGTCCCCCAAGTTTCCAGTCCACTGCCTAGCTGACACCCTACTACACTGCGACATTAAACCCTAGCGCAAAAAAACCCAACTGGTGGTGGGTGATTCGTCGGTGTGCCTTGGGACTGTCCTACGTCGCCGTGGCCACTGCACCTCTTACGAGCACGGCATTCTTTCGGTGCCACTTTCTCGGACGGACGCATTTTCGGGCGCGCCCCACCACCACCGCCAGCCAGATGTAGTGTAGTGTACTTTGCATGCAATCTCTGGACTCTTTCCACAAGCACTATTATACCATTTTTTTCTTCGTCTCGTTTTGTTGGTGGGACACCTTTTCTGAGGATCGCCTTCGCGAGAAACTAAGTTTGTGAGGAGATATGCATAGAACAGGGAGAGGGGTACGCAGACCGTATTCCCTAACCCTAACGCTGACCCAACGTCCCCCCGATTGAGTGTTTTTTCCAGCATGTTTACTTTTCGAAAACCTGTGCGAAAATGTCTCATGTTTTCTGATTCGATGTGCTCTTCGAAACCTCGGAATGAACGAACACAGGAAGTCGCCGATCAGGAAAAGGCGTGGTTCGAACGAGAGAGGGAGGCCAACGACCTGGCCCTGCAGCGCACCCGCAAGCTCATTCCCGTGGGCGTGACGCGCCTCACGGTGGCGGAGCTGGAGCAGCACGCGCTCGACGCCGGGTCGCTGTACCCGCGAGAGCTGACCCTGCGGATCAAGGTACCGAAACTTTGTTGGTGGTGTGGTGTTGTTGTTGTTGTTGTGGTGTTGGTATTGTTGGAGGCGGTGGTGGTGGTGGTGGTGTTATTGATGCTGTTGTGGTTGTGGTAGTTGTTGTTGGTGGTGGTGGTGGTGGCGGTGGTGCTATTTGATGCTGTTGCTGTTGCTGCTGCTGCTGCTGCTGCTGCTGCTGCTGCTGTGGTTGTCGTCGTTGTTATCGTCGTTGTAGCTCGCATTCCTCGATCGGAATTGGGATGATAAAACCCCAAGCATACGAAAGCTTAACCTAACCTATCACCTGGCCCTCTTGCTGTGCCGGTCGTCATCATCAACTTCAACGGTGACCCTTACCCTTGTCCTCGATCCCTCCCTGCCATAGGAAAACCGCCTCCTTCACTGGGTCGTGACCCACCCGGACGACATCGCGCGGTCCAACTTCCTGCGGGGCGACCACGCCCACTTCTTCACCAACCTGGACAAGGTAACGCATCTAAGAAGATGTCTATGCTATGAATAAAATAGTTACCAGATGGAGGAGCACCAGCTGTCTGTTTGCTTTTTGCAATGTTAAATTTAGAAGTGTGTGCCGTTTTGTGGGTGTAGTTAGCCGGTGACCACGGAAGGCACCCGAGTCAGTTGGACCGACGAGTATGGATGTAGAAGGTTCTGAATAGAGACGGGAACATCTTGTTGAAAGACAATACAACAACAACGGTTTTCCATTCGTTTGGACGAATGTGTAGGGCTTTTTAGCTTCGGTGGAATTACCGTAAAATCTATCCATGACCTGGTTCGAGGCGCGACGTACGCTTTTGCCTTGCACTAGTTCCGTATGGGGTTGGCGCAATAGCCACCAATCACTGCCAATCGTTTGTGTCGTCCATGCCTCTACCCTCCCTCCCTCGTTTCAGTGGCCCTTCCTCTTCATCCTCCCTCTAAACCTCGTGTTTGTCTACCTTTATTTACGGCCCCTCCTTTTTTCTGTCGTCGCCGGTTCCATCCATGTGTGGATTGACTTTTTTCTTCCCCTCCTCGTCCTTGTCGTTTCCATCGTCCTCTTTTTGTTGATTTTTTTTTGGCAGTACGATCTGGTGGAGCTGAGGGCAATCATGGCTTGCCTTCCGGCCAAGTTCGAGGTGGACGCGGACGGCCGCAAGGCTGCCTGGAGAGAGCTCTTCCTGCAGCGAGCGCAGAGCCTCGTGGCGCAGGTTCGTGTACGGACGGTATCCTTGTTGGTGCTGGTTCTGTTACTCTTGTTGCTATTGCTGCTGCCACCCAACTCTAGCTAACCTGGCCTCCGTCTCCTTGTTGCTATCGCTATCACCTCAACTCAAACCACCGGCCTCTGTTGTCGTCGTCGTCCTCATTGTTGCTATCGATATTTTATATGGTGATGATTTACAGGAGAGGGGGGACACCGTTAGCGGCGGGTGGGACCCCGAAATCGGTGCCCGGCGGGAGGTTCAGCTGCCGCAGCTGACCCCCGAGCAGACGCGAAGGAAGGAGTACTTCTATCCGACGGCGGCGGAAGTGGAGGACAGGGTCCAAAAGCTGCAGGAGCGACAGCGGCGGCTGGAGGAGAAGCAAGCGAAGCTGGCACACGTGAGATGATGATGCCTCAAGGATTGATGATGAACGACCAGAAACAAGATTTTTCTATTTTGCGGCATATTCCACGTCCGTCCCCGTGTTGCGATCGACTTTGTTTGTGTTGATGGTTTGTGTTGGTGTCTGGCACGCGTAGATTTCTTTTGTTTCATCAACTGTTGTTGTCCTATGTCAATCTTCATGTATGTGCCTCGTGATATTTGTTGTTCTCCAAATGGGGTTGCCTATTCAGCGGTGCACAAAGAGCATTATGTATAGGTGCTGATCCACCAACAGTTTCGTGTCGTTTATTGTGTTTCTCCTGTGCGGTGTAAGGCACAAGTGTCGTTCGTGTCGATAGGTCCTGCCCACGGTTCCTTTGGTTCCACCACCCGTTGTCATAGTCTTGATAACTCGACATGGACCATCACGCCACCCGCCTTCCTCTCCTGGTTGTCACCAGCCAAGTCAAGGATAGAAGCTGTCGCCACACAGCTTTTCCGCCACGTTCCTCGTGTGTTTTTTTTTTTTGCGTTTTTAGGTCAAGGACGAGCTGCTTCCCGAGGCGAAAGAGGAGTACGCCAACGTGTTGGAGGACACCCGGCACCCGGCCAACAAGGAGGCGTTTAGGCCGGAGGACTTGAGGAGGGCGAGAGACGAGGCAAAGTCGGAGGTCGACAGGTACATATTACATGGCTGATACAACCGAGAGTTTTTACTTAAGGTCGGCGTGTTACCGTCGTTTTTTTGGTGTGTGTATTTTTTTCGTTGCTGGCTTGGTTGCGTTCAAGCCTCCCGGAGCTACCAATGATTGACATAGACAATAATTCCCTCAAACAGCGATTTTTCATCAATAAAAAAGCCGTTTTCCAGTAGAGCAGACATAAGGAAACCTATCTACCGATGCGCGCAATATTTTTCACGAAGGGGAGGAAGAAGATCCCGATTCAAGCAACAATTTGAGAACGTCGCCTGTTATTTCTCAGACACACGGACATGCTATGCACCTCCTAACCATGCTGGTGCCAACAATTCTGCCTCTCTCTCTGTTTATCTCTCTCTCTCTCTCTCTTTCTCTCTCTCTCTCTCTCTCTCTCTCTCTCTCTCCCTGTTTAGACTGGCGAAGGAAGCGAGACGACTGGAGGGGGACGTGTCCTCGGCAAAGCGTGCCCTGAGGGAGAGTCCGTACACCGTCGACTCCCTGCGAGCCGAGGCCGATGCGACTCGACGGCTACTCTCGGAGCGCGCGAGGAAGCAGCGCCTCCTGGCCAAGCGGAAGGAGAAGGCCGCCGCTGAAGCGGCTGCCACCGAAGCTGAAGCGGCCGCCACCGAAGCTGAAGCGGCCGCCACCGCCGGCAGTGAGCCGGGGGACGAGGTGGCGATTGCGCTGGCGGCGGTAGTCACCGCGGTGGTGGAGAAGGCGGAAGACGAGGAGGTGGAGGAGGGCTTGGAGGTGGAGGGGGCGTTCGATCCGACCCCGGAGCTGCGGTCCAGGTTCGCCGACAAGAGCAGCTCCCTGCGGTTCGTTACCGCGGACGAGGAGGCGCGGATGCGGAAGGAGGAGCTGGCGAGCGTCTTCGCCGTCCGGGATAAGGAGGCGGCGGCGACAGTGGCGGCCGCGGCGGCGACCGAGGAGCTGCCGGCGGTGAGGGGAGCGTCGGAGAGCAGCAACGCCGCCGGGGGGGGTGATGGCGACCAAGGCCGGGTAGTAGCGAGAGGGGAAGGCGCGGTCGACGGTGCTGCTGTAGCCGCTGGCGGCGGCGGCGGCGGCGGCGGAGACGGATCGCCTGCAGCAGGGAGTTCGGGGATGGGACCAGGTGTGTGGTTTGTGGGGGCTGCGTGGAATGTATGAGCGTTAGTTTGTTATGAGATTTTCTGAGGCAAAGGGGCGGTGATGTTTTTTCCTAAAGCCCCCGATGTGCTGGGTGGACTTGGTGGTTCTTCTTCAGGTTTGATGTAAGTCATCGTTCTGTTTTGTGTGGCCTGAACAAGAAGTATTGATGTTTGCTCTCACTTCACGCATCACGCATGTGTTTCACGGCCGTCTCTTGCACGACAGCGGCAGCGATTTTGTAGTAGTAATTCCCGACATTCCTCACCCATGAAACCCGTTGCGTTAACGGACCCCCCGTCGATGTCAAACGAAACGCAGGCCGGATGAAGGCCTTCGGTGCGGTCCTGGAGAAGACGCTCAGTCAGAACTTGTTCGGGCGGGCGCCCCCCCCCGGTACTACCGCCGCCGCCGCCGCCGCCGCCGCGGGTACCGGGGCGGGCGGGAAGACGATGCCGAAGAAGGCAACGGCTGACGCTGCTGCCGCCGCCCTGACGCCGCCGTGCAAGCCGAAGTCCAAATTCTTCCGGTCCATCGCATCCCCGACCAAGCCGCCGAACGACACCGGCCCGACGAGCCTCCCCCCGCCGCCGCCGCCGCCGCCGGCACCGATGATGGGCGGACTGCTTTCGCAGATCCGGGCCCGCGGTGGAGGAGGCGCCGGCGACGCGATGGGCGGGCTTCTGGCTCAGATTCGGGCGGCTGGCAGGGGTGACGCCGACGGTAAGGTCGAGAGCCCGGAGAGGGGGGCCTCGTGCGCCGCCGCCCCCCCGCCGCCTCCACCGGCGTTGCCGGTCCCCCAGAGGTCGCTGTTTGCGACCGCGGGTCCGAGCCGCGGTGCCCCCGCCGCCGTTCAGGGTCCCCCGCCGGATTTCTTCGCGCAGGTGAGGGCTAAGGCCGTGGAGAGGCAGGCGTTGCGGCGCGCGGCGGAGGCGGGGGCCTCCAGCTAGAGGGAGTGTACCCTCTACCTTTCTTGGACCTGATGACGCGACGGGAGAGATGTGAATTGGCCTGTTGGTCAGGTTTTGGTGCCCCGCCGAAACTTGGTTGGCGCTTGGATGTCTTTCTGATTGAATCAGAGAAGTCATACCGTCAGGTTGGGGGACACGGCGGAAGGGACGACGTGGGTGTCGCCGTCTTGGCAGAGTTGCCTTGGGCCGGTGTCGTGTGTGGAGCTTCCGCATTGGCTGTGTCTTGTGGAGAGGTGCGGTTGGACCGGAGGCTTCCACGAGACTTGGTGTTGCTATTGTCGCCTGGCTCTTCAGGCTGGCAAATAGATGGTACAATGGCATGTCGGACGGGAAGCTGTGGGTTCAGCGGCATTTTTTCTGTTTCGGTTGCTAGAGTTTCGATATCTGTTTTGATCCGCCATTCCTAGATGTCTTCCTGTCGTCGGAGCTGCGATGGTATTCGATCTACACGGATAACGCCACAGTCTGAGTTTTTGGCAGTCAAAGACCCGAGCATTTTTTTTTCCCCAGAAAAGAAAACGTATGTATTAGCAGCGGCACCACACGGTTGCTCGAGTAATACCCCACACACCTCATGGTCATAGTGGCTGTTGTTGGTGTCTAGTCTGCAGAGGAAGCCGATTCGTGAGGTGAGGCCTTCTATGCCCTGGTTACAACTCTTTTTTACGTATTCCGCGAGGGAGGCGAACGTCTGCGTTCGAGCACACCGTATGAAACATGCCATGGAAAACCCCATGGTAGAAGGGCGGCAGTGGCTCTCGGCAACCTCCGGACCCGTTTCACACACGCACACGCCTTGCAGTATCCCACCAGGTTTATTGCGAAATCCGGCGGCGTTTCGTTTAAGAGAGGAAGTGCTAGTCGTTATTATCGAGGGGGGCTAGCGAGGGGGGGGGGGAGGGGGGGGGGGAGCAAACAAACCAACAGGGAGGGGGAGGTATTGTATTGTTTCTTGTGGTAGGTTGGTGCTGTTTTTTTTTTTTGTATTTTTCTTGTCGTTGACCCTCGTGTTTGTTGTTGGGCGTGCTCTTCTTTCGTGTGTTCCCGCTTTGTCTAAAAATGAATTATCTGAGCGTCTGAAGTAGATAGCGTAGCGCGGGTGCGGTTGTCCCTCGGGGGAGAGAGGACACGCGAGAAACGGAGAGGTTGGGGGGGGGGCCTAGAGAGGAAGGAAGACAAGTTGAAGTTGAAGTTGAAGCAGGAGCGGGGTGTTGTGTTAACCCCTACCATGCCAATAATACCGGCTTGTGTGTTGTGAGGGAGGCCGTTGACCAAGCGCGCATGCTGTACAAGATGAAGCACATTAGAAGTCACATTTTTTTTTTTTTTCGGTTTGTGTTGTTTGTGTGATGGATTTTTTGCCTATATGCGGGGGGTAGCGGGGACGCTTCCGCGCGTATCCTCTTTGTTTATTTGTGTGTGCAGGAGGTACGTAGCTGTCACGGTTCACTTGACACACCATTCGCTGTATCCAGGTGGGGTAGGGTAGGGTGCTGTTTCAGTTTCTAGGCAAGCGATGGTTGCGCTGCGTGTAGGAAGGACGTAGTAGCCGTTCTTGACCTACGGAGAAACGGCCGTGGAACCCCAATAGATGTTTCTGTGTTTCCCTAACGTCGAGACTTTGGATACTGCTCTGCTGTACCCGTGTGGGAGCTTTTTTGCTGAGAAAAAAGAAAAAAGTGATCGAGTTACCATGTACGCAAATTCCTCAAGAACTTGGTCGTCCTGATTTTTTTGTGACAAGCTAGCTGGGTTGCGGTAAAGATCAGCTTTTGGTTGTCGCGCTACACGCATACTCTCGTCCGTGCGGCTCTGATTCTGAGGGATAGAAACAACGCCGTCGGCACTTCCACCATCGTGCTCGTGAAACTATCGGCCCAATCTTGTTGTGGGCTTGGGATATCATCGTACAATCAATCTCGTTCAGAGAACCCTGAGACCCTGAGCGCGCAAACATCAGGAGTAGGAGTGCGGCCGACCAAAACTCTTCCGCACCACTACTGCCTGTTGGGCACTTTCGCGGCGGTTCTCTTTCTTTCATGTTTGAAAATGTAACGTGAGACCGGCCACACGGATGGCGTTGGACTACAGTGCAGATGATATTTTGAAGGGCACTTGGGGAGCAGAGATCGGAACGGCTTTTGACATCAACACCAACAACCATGAAAACAAGTAAGGAACATTTTTTTCTCGCCGAACGTTTCCTCTAATGTACGCAGTCGATAAACACGGCAACGATACCTACCACGACGTTGGCGTTGTTGAGCAGCTCTGCCCATGAAGCTACAATGCACGAAAGAGGTTCGTAAGAGGCATAACTGTACCAATGGGGGCAGCGCCACATGAACGACAAAAACCCAGCACCCATCTTCGTTCCGCTCCTGATTAACACACGTCCCAAACCTAAGCTGTAAACTTCAGGCTGCATATTTCTCAAGGTACCGACGAATCATGTCGGCGTCGACAATTCTCCTGCGCCAAACAAAACATACACAGATGGCCAAGTTCCTCCTCAACTGCAGCGGCAAGGATGCCACAACGTGCTGCTTGCCACCCACAGGGGAGATATCGCGGTATGCTGCTCGGGAAATCGTAGAAATACAGGTAGCTTCCGCTGACGCTATGAATTCTTTGCTTGTCTATCTTAGACTCTTCCTATGGAAAGAGATGAATTTGTTGCAATACTAAATAATAATAAAAAGAAAAAAAATCCGCTGAAAACGAAACCATCTGCTAAAATGGCGACCCTTTAAAACAAAGGACACTTCTCACAAACTTCGTTTGTCTGAACCACGGGTAAAAAATTCAGTATCCACCTCAAACCAATACGGACGCTATGCGGCCGAACACCCCCCACGCAGAGCAAATGCTCTCTGACTGTCAACAACCCAACAATGACGCGGCAGGCAGTCCTTTCGTGAAACCGGCCATCATATCCACCACCATCATTACCTAACCACGCCGGTCACATCCTATGCGCTCAACACCCAACCAAGCCTTGTTTAGGGCCTTGGAGAACCGTTGCCCATTATCGAGTATGGCAGTAGCTGCACTAGGACTACATGTAAACCTTCACGACGGACTCGATAGCGCATCCCAGCATGGTCAATAGCCCGATGTACCCGAACGCCCCCCTGTGCCTCTTCTCCGGGTCTCCAGTCTACAGACATACAGCAAACGAACAACGGGGGGGGGGGGGGGGGGTACTCATAGTCGTGCATGCCGTAGTCGTTTGACCATTGACCTCGCATCCCTACAAAGCCGGGACGGAGCACGCCGGGTTCTCACCGGACCAGGCTCTCACATCACCAAGCGCGAAGCGCCGTGAGGTATTTGGCGAGTCGCATGAAGGGTGAGCTGCATCCTGCTAAGGGTGTTCAGGCATCTTGGCTTACTTCCTTGCGTACGGATGACAGCTACGTATGACTTAGTTTATTTTCTGGTGCTTTCACTTCCATTGACAGTTGTAAGCACTGTGTAACTGCCTCGAGGAAGCTTGACCATTTTAACACAACGTGGTGCGATCATCCCCCGTTGCGCGGAGTGAGGGTTCTCGACCCCGCACAACATGATCTACTCGACCACCATTTTGGTTACCGCCAAAAAAAAAAACCGAGGTAAAAAAAAAAACGGTAACCTGGTTGCCGAGTTCACGAAGTGAATTGGCTTCTTTTACAACGTCGTTGCCAAGCGACGAAAACCCAATCCCGATGGCAAACACCGAGTGGGGGGCTCGTTTTACAACGTCGTTGCCAAGCGACGAAAACCCAACCCCGATGGCAAACACCAGGGGGGGCGGCTTGTTTTACAACGTCGTTGCCAAGCGACGAAAACCCAAACCCCGATGGCAAACAAGGCCGAGGGGGGAGGAGGGGGGGGGGGTCAAAGGAAAACATGCCGCTGGAAGGCGCACAGGCTCTCCCGCGACAAGCACAAAACTGGGTCGCGGGAGAGGGGGGCACAAGCAGGATAAGGGTTCTTCGGGATGCCGTTCCTTGAAAGGCGGCCACTAGAAGCTAAAAGGTGCGTGATACACATGCCATGGTATCTCCTCGGTTAATTTTTTTCGGGCTTGACTTCTCTTGGAGAAAGCGCGGTGTCTTGCGAGAGAACGGACGGGCAACAACATCACCAGCGTCACCGCTCACGGAGACACATCGAAAAGAACAAAAGAAAAACCACAAACAAATAAAAAATAGAACGCAACACGTGGGGTTTTCTCAGTGACAACTCTCCTCGTCCACGCAAGTCACCAAAAAAAAATCACACAAGGCCGAGTAGGGAGGGTCAAAACGTGCGCGCTCCAACACCTCGTGTCCAAATACGTCCGACAGCACGCGCCTGCGCGTGTAACGAAAAAAAAAACGCTCACCCTGTAGCCTATGACGTAGGCGACGAAACCGGCCAGGCGTACCGCTCCAGCGACTCCCGCGATGGTGGGCCGGTTGATGGCCGCCAGCCCGAGGAGCAGCAGGAAAGACGGGTAGTTCTCGAGAACGTTCTGCAGAGCAAATCGTTAGGCAAAAGCAGCGAACGGCGGTGCGGTGGTGACGGACGGCGAGTACAGTAGTGCACGATGGGTGGGTGAGGGAAGATCCAACGCCGAGCAGCTTCTTTCCGTTTCTGTTCCCGTTCTGCGCCCAGCAAACTCTTTTTTCAGCCCTTGTCTCGCCCCCTTACAGGGATAGCATTTCTTATGCTTCATTTTCCCTACTGGGACTTGAGATTCTGTCCAAAGCTCGCCGCTCCTCACTTTCTCGCTCCCTCTCCCTCTCTAGCAATCTAGTCTTTTCACACGCTCAGCAGTGAGTTTCGCTTTTCAGTCGCTTAGTGTGGGAGGTGGCGCAAAGTGCCAAAAGCCATGTACTACTGCTGCTGTAGTCATAATTAATTTTGGGTCTAACGGCGTAGTGACAGACCATTGATAGACCATTTGCAAATGCTGATGTGGTGGCATGCCATGGGGTTGCCGCCCTGCATCCCTCCACGCCAGGTGTTAGCCAAACCGTTGACCAATAAGAAGACGCCAGTGCCAGCGGGGAAAACCAAGGTCCGCGGAAGGGTACCAAAATAAAATTCGAAAAAATGCACAATGCGCTAAATGCGATGCACATCATGAGTTTTTCTACATGTCCTTTCACAGAGACACCCATCACAACTCCACATGCATGCCCTCGCCCGACTCTAGGAGGCCACTGATGCAAAGAGCGGAAGGCAGCAACAGGGGTATTTCAAGCCCAGCCAAGTCAGGATATCGTGGTATGCATCTTGTCCTTAAATTAAATAATCGTACACCAAGACGCAGCAGTCGCGTTCAGCAGCTGTACTACACACGAGCAGTATCGACGAGTCCAACAAAATAGTAACACATGAACTATCATCATAGCTCCACATATACCCTCGCCCGAACCTAGGGAGCCACTGATGCAAAGGTAGGTGTGTGTTGGTGTGCTTGCGTGCTTGAGGGGAAAACAAAGGAGCTCTGGCGAGCCGGCAGGTCTCACGTTGGCGGGGGAGAGCGAAGAAACAGAAGCACAAAGAGGCAAGAGGCCCGCCACCCGCCATGTGGAAATAATGGAGGACCCCCCCTCCCCCCGATAACCCCCCCTGGTATCTGCCATCGGGGTTGGGTTTACGTCGCTGGGCAACGACGTTGTAAAACAAGCCGGTCATTTCGTGAGCTCGGCAACCAGGTTACCGCTTTTTTTTCATTTGATTTTACTTGCGGTAACAATAGTGGTGGTCGAGTAGATTGTGTTGTGCGGGGTCGAGAACCCTCACTCCGTGCAAAGGGGATAATCGCACCAAGTTGTGTAGAATTGGTCAAGTACCCTCGAGGCAGCTACACAGTGCCCATATCTGTCTCTGGAAGTGAAAGCACCAGAAAATAAACTACGTCATACGCAGCTGTCATCCGTATGCAAGGAATAAGCACAAGATGTCGAACACCCTTAGCAGGATGCAGCGCACCCTTCATGCGACTCGCCGAATACCTCACGGCGCTT